CGCATCGTGCTCTACGTGAAATTTTGGTTAAAAAACATGTATCAGAATGCTTAAATTCGTAACTTGTCTAGTGGTCCATTGTGAATGAGAATCGAAAGGGGGGGCCATTATCATGAGATAAGGTTTTAGGAAGGCCAAAAAGAGCGAAAATACTAAGTAACTCTCTCTGTACATCTGTTGCTTTGCATTCAGTCATGGGTGCTATGTGAATCCATTTCGAGTACGCATCCGTAAAAATGAAGAATGTATGTTGATTGTACTGAAAGAAATCAATGTGCACTCTTTCAAAGAGATATTTGGCTGAAGGCCACGGAACAATGACTTTCGGGGGATGTACATTAACTAGAGCGCAATTGGGACAGTTGTTGATTAGTGTTTCGATAGCTTTACTTAAAGACGGCTACACTACTAGCCGGCTGGACGGCTTTACTATGATCATGATCACTCGGGCCTGCCCATAACTCTGCCAACTACGCTATAATTTTTGACTTTGATATTTGCTAATTTTAACGATAAATGCTTGCAATTATATGTTCCTTCAAAAAGCGTGGTATCATTTTTAAACTCCGCAAGTAACAGGGTGAGTAAAGTCCGCCTAAATCATATCCTCTTTCGCCTAAGAAAGCAACGTTTGGTTTCTGCAGGACGGAAAAGCTCGAGTGTTCAGCAAGGAAGCTACTTAAAACATTATTTCTGTTAACCCTTATTTCAATCGCACCTTTTCTTAGTTTCTGTAGGTTACAAATGACTGATTCAGCTCCAGTTTCAGCAACAGAGTGGAACTTCATGTTTTCATCATAATCATTATCCAATTTCACAATGTAGCGGATCCCTTTTCATCCACATACTCGGAACAATCACGTTCAGAATTTATAAATCCACTGCTACTAGTAGATGCATCTTTACTAGTAGATCCATTGCTACTACTTAATGCATAATCTATGACGTTCTTGTATAAGTCAAAATGAAGACCATTCCCATTAATGACAGTTTTTCCAAAAACGGTTCCCTATGAAGCTGAAGGCTCGACATTTCCAAGGGAACCTTTCTACAAAAAATATTCACAGATGAAAATAGTCTTCTTTTGACTCGAACTGATGCCCTACATTATTTGCCTTCCAACACAAAAACCTCGGTAGATTCTGAGAATAGGCATCTATGATAGTTAAACTACCTTCCTCATTTTCATTGAGCACAAAATTTGCTGAGCTTCAGCCATTTGTACAACCATTCACTTACTGTTTTGCGGATTCACTCACGTACTTTACTGCGAAAGTTAGAAGAACATCTTCTACTTAATGAAAGATGTAGCGTGCATTTAAATTCTTTCCTAATCGCTTATTAAACTTTAAATATATTTCCCAGCAATGAATTTTGACAAAGTAGCAATTTTTTGGATTTCTTATGGGCCAAAAATAGTTTAACAGCAGATTCTCCCATGTGTTCTACAAAAAAGCACCGGAATCGAATAGAATGATTTTTCTACTGGCTGTAACTTGGAAATGTTATGGTAGATTGAATTGAACAGTACCAGTTTTTTTTTTTCATCTGAGAGTCTACTTTCGGGCTAAATAACTGAAGCTACGTTTTGAGCGTTAACTTATTTTACACGACATCGGTTGCCGAACAGTTGCAGATCTATGGGGTCCAAACTACTTATTAAATAAATTCTCTGGCGATTCCCCACAGTGTTTCACAAGAAAGGTACTTACAGAGTGTTTGCCGAGAAATTACTCTATTACCTCTAGTGCACAAACATATTTCAGTGTGCTGAAATTTTCTCGTCCAGTCATATGGACTAGACTAGGTCTTGTCACAGAAATCTTTTCATGTTAAGGGTAGTGATTGTTACGACCATGCTCAAATACCAGTCCTCTGCTACCAGGCAGAATGATACTTGGTTTTCCCTAAAAGTTTCGTGAACCGCACTTATTTCCTCGTTCATCGTGAAACTGTAGGTACCCGACTACCGCACTGTGCCGGGGACAACTCGGAAAAGTTCTATGTAATCGTTGGAATCTCAGTGTCCCGCTTATATTGTCCTATATGAGCTGGTTCCTATCTACCTATCTGCACAAAATACATTGCGTGCTGTGTTGCCAAGTATTGAAACTCACTTTCCCAAAAAGCCCATAATTACCCGCCGAAGAGGGTTACGATTTTAAGTTCGTCCAAAAGTCAATTAGCCCAAAACGGATTGGACCTCATTGACACCACTGATGAGGTGATGAAAAGAGTCCTCGGAGAAGATGTTGGGTGCTGGGCCTCCCTGAATGAGGGAGAGACCCATCAAGAGTCCCACATAGTGATACATTTGCTTGCTGTATTCTTCCTCTATATACGTTAGCTCTTTTTCTAGACTCTTTCTAATTCTGTAATCGTCTCGTAATGGTCAATTGTCCCTCTCTCTCCCTTAATTGACTTTTTATAGCGTTTCTATATTCCCAATCTGTTAACTGTTTCGAGACCTCCTGGCTCAACAAATGTGTTCGTCTGGCTGCCTGTAACTATATACGCTGTTAAATATTCTCGATTTTTCAGCATATCTTCCCAAAAACTGCTTAAATATTTCGCTTGTCCTGACGATAAAAAAGCAAGTTTGAAATTCTTTTTCTTCAGGACATATCGTTGGTGATCTATCACCTTTTCAATTGCCTGGAAAAAGAATAGAAGGAATTATTATACCACTAATATTAACCATATTGAAGTATTAATTATTATTTTTAATGTTGAGATTTTCTGTAAAAATTTGTTACGGGAGTCTATTAATTATATTGAATGTAAGTGGAAGACAAACTCACCAATTGAAACATGGTGTGGCTTCCCGTAGTTCTGATGAAGTATCTAGTACCGTCAAACATTACGCCGTGGTTCTTTGATAGTTCGGGTATCAAAAAATCATACACGTCTGAGGGTAACATTTGTTTCAAGTTTCTTCCACACGACATATTTCTCATTTTACTGTCGTAGGCGTACACCATCACTTCTTCATTGTCGATGCTTACATGAATTTTTGGGTTTCTCAGTTGGGGAACCAAAACATCTTTCGTGTGCTTTCCTTGCCAAACAGTCGTGCACCTCATTATCGTAATCGCCATTGCGTCGTGATCCGTTTCTAGAAGGGTAAAGAATAAGTACCATACATGAATATTACTACTTGTTTTGTGACAATTAAAAAGTAGTTCTATTTATTATCGATTTTTTTAAGTTTTCTTTTTAAAAACACCACTACCCCAACCCCCCCCCCCCCCCCCCCTACCCTACTTTAATTAGATACGTTGTGGGGCTTATTTGCTTATGAATTACACCTTTTTGTACTTGGTGCTGTTTGGACATTCTTACTAGGACTGTTTCGTTAACGCTAAGGTTTGGCAATTTAGGGGCTTTGGGTTGCTTTTTGGGGTGTATTAAGTTAAGGGTTGTTCGAGGGGTTTGTTTAAGTACAAGATCGCAGGGGCTGACATCTTTTTCAGTTATGGGGGTGTTTCTATATGCGAATAAAAATTTACATAATTTCTTAAGTACATCTTTTTTTGAAATGTTAAAATTTTCTAATTTGATTTTCTCTAAAGCTTTTTTGACAGTTTGGACTGCTCTTTCGGCTAGGCCGTTACTAGTTGGGTGGTAAGGTGGTGACTTCGTGACAATAATAGAATGTTTAGTGCAAAAGTCTTTGAATTCTTGTGATTGAAATGGCGGACCATTGTCCGTCACTACTTGTAGCATAGGGTCATATGTAGCAAAGTGCACTAATAATTTTTCTTCTAGAGATTCAAAATTTGTAGACGATACCGGCCAGACTTCGATCCATTTACTATATGCATCATCGAGTACTACATACACTTCATTATTAAAAAAGAAATGGTCTAAATGTACTCGTTGCCAGGGTTGATTAGTTTCTGGCCATGAAGTTTTGGCGGATGATACAGGTTTGAAATTGACTATTTGACAAGCTGCACAGTTTTTTATTTTGTTTTCAATATCGTTATTCAATGTTGGCCACCATACATTTTTCCTGGCGAGCGATTTCATCCTTACAATCCCGGGATGAGAATCATGCAAATTTTCAAGGACCTTAGTTTGCAATTTTTTGGGGATAACAACTCTATCTCCAAAAAGTATGACATTATCATGCAACGATAGACTTTCCCTTACTAGAAAATAAGGTCTAATGTTAACATCTTTGACATTTCTAGGCCATCCTTGCAACACATAATTGAAGACAGTGCTAAGGGTGTTTTCATTTCTAGTTTCTAGAGCAATTAATTCAGGGGTTAAAGGAATATCGGGTAACAATTCAATGGTTTCAGAAATTTCTTTTATCGTTACATTGTCAGCGGGGAGTCTGGATAGTGCATCAGCTGGTTTTAGTAAGGATGCTTTGCGATAAATGGTTTTGAAGTTGTAAAAAAGCATACCTCAATTGCAACATTCAACCATTTCCAATTATGTTTTATTCTTATAGGTAGAACTGTACGAAATCAAATTCAGGTGTAGGTCAGGTGTGTAGGTTAGTGCCTCTTATATCAGAGGCACTTGCCTGATCAGAAGACTGCTTGCCATTTTTACTAGGCCATAGTGGTGTTAAAATAGTCCTAATTGCCGAAACTTTTTTTTCATCGGGCGCAATGTGAACGCTCAGGAGCATATCTTCCACATTTTTATCCTTGTAATTCACAGGGTACCTAACCTTGTGAGCAGCAATATCCGAAAAATCTCCATAGAGCATACAAACTAATTTTATGAATTCACGATACCAGTATTTGGGGATATTACTCCTGATTAACTCTATCTCCTCTTTGAAATCTAAGGTATTGATGTCTCCAGTCATGATACGTTCCCATTTATCGAAGCGCGTATTCTTCAGAAATTTGTTGGTCAAAAACATCGTCTCTAATTCCTCTATCCGACTGCGGACCGCTAATATCAATACGTATTTCACTAGATCCTCATTTTTATTCTTTACCAACGTTAGATTATATTTACAAAAATTCAGTTCATTATTGTGAGCCATGAGTTCGTCTTTTTGAGCCATGTGTTTTTCGTTGTGAGCCTTGAGTTCTTCGTTGTGAGCCTTGATGTGAGCCTTGATTTCTTCTTGTTGAGCCTTGAGTTCTTCGTTGTGAGCCTTGATGAGAGCCTTGAAATTTGACAACAATCAGCCTGAGGGTGTATCTAGTGGGTTGAACGAAAACTGTTACCTTAATTTCTCCTATAGTGTTTAAGGGCTGTCCGTCAACATTCCATAAGCGAGATGTGCACTTTTCTACTTTAGAATCTGGGAATTTGTCAGAAAATTCACTGAGAGACATTAGTGACACTGCTGATCCCGAGTCGAATTCGCACTCAACACTTTTATCATTTATAACTATATTTCCCAGTAATGGGTTGTTGGTTACACGGTACACATAGAGGTTAGATTGTGACTTAGAAGAAGTCGGTGCTAAGGTTAATTGCGCGGAGGGAATGTTGCGGACTTGGAGGTCGCTTGTTGACTTGGTGATTGGTAGGTGAGCATTGGATATCCTTCCCACGATGATTTCTTCGATTTCCTCATCGGTGGATTCTTCCAACACTGCTTTGGCTTGGTTGCAGGCGGTGGACGTGTGACCTTGGATTCCACAATTGAAGCATTTCCAATACCGGGCAGGGCAGTAATTAGGATTGTGCAGTCTTGTACATCTATAACATTGAGTGGTAGTTTGCGGGTTGACTCTGCGGTTGGGTTGTTGACGTGATTGTTGACCGTTGTTTGGTTGACGTGCGTTGAAATTCCGTTGATTGTTTGATTGACGATAGTTGGTGCGCTGATTTGAGTTCGTGGCTGGAAATTGGTTGCTAGATTGAGGTTGAGGTGGTGAGCTTTGATTAAATGAACGATTAACGGGTCGAAATGAGTTAGACTTGTTATTAGTTCTGCGGTTGACTTGGTTATTGACTTTGTTGACTGAGGCGGGTTTAAGTTCGCTGGCAATTGTCTCGAAGTTGCGAACAAACTTGATGGCATCCTCCAGGGTTAAGTCGCTTTTCTCCCACAACTTTTTCTTGAGGTTGACGGAGTTGAGCCCATTTACAAATTTGACTAGGAGCCTGTTCTTGAGGTTGTCTCCAAAGTTGCATTTGTCTGCAAGAAGTCTAAGAGAGGTTAGATACACTGCAGCAGTTTCCCCCTCTGCTTGAACTCTAGATTCAAACTTTAGAATATCGGAAAAAAGGATCTTGTTTGGTTCGTAGGTTTCTTGGAGGAGTATGACAAGTTGGTCAAATGATTTGCTTGATGGTTTCTCAGGCAACAATTGAGTTCTTAGTTCTGAGTAAACGTCAAAGGATAGGTAGTTCAGAAGTACCTTGCGTTTGCTGGATGCCTCGGTGATTTCATTGAGGTCGCAGAAGTTCTCAAGCATTTCTAGCCATGTTGACCGGGAGACTTTGGCTTCAAAGGGTTTCAGGGTTCCCACATACGTTGCTGTGGTTGCAGGAAGCGTCCGGTTGGGTAGCTCGTGATTTCGATCGTTCATTTTTCGTACCTAAGGATAAGGTTTTTGACTTTGACGGGTTGCACGGTAGCCACGGCCACGCGGTTCACTAGGTTGGCTTCGCTTGACACGGTTATTTCGGTTTCTACAAGTGCTTTGAGTAAAGGTGACCGGCGCGGCGCGGTTGGTTGACAATAAGTAAAACGATTTTTTAATCCTCGTCGCCAATGATATATTTGGTGGACTCGAAACGGGAAGACAAAAAAAAAGATGAGACAAACGAATGTAGAGATGACGAACCAAGAGAGATTTATTCAGACGACATTGCTTAAAACGGTTCGACCGGTGTGGCGGGCAATTCAAACATAACAGATATCTTGACTTCAAAGGGATGATAAAGTAGAAAATGTACGAAGTAAGGACAATCAAAACCCACGCAAGCTACCATTCTGATGCACACTGGAAAGATGGTCAAAAACTGCATTTCTATGGTAACGGTGACGCAACAGATGTGTAACGAAAATATGCCGGAAATCTAGGAAAATCATTCCAGACATTGTAGTAGTATATTCTTTAAATGTCAACTTTTTGCATTATTTACGCTTTCGACGAATCCATATCCGTTGTTTCTTCAGATATACAAGGAACTTTCAACATCATTTAAGTATGTTGAAAATTGCCCTATTTTATTACGTCGTTCGTTGTCTACTAACCTTTACGTAGATAAGAACACCTGGCGTTTGGATGTCGCAGAGCACCAGGGTGCGCCAAGGGAGCAAATTCTACGTATGTATGTTGACAATTTATAAGATTGAATTTTGAAGTCACATTAAATGAGTTTTTGTACAAGAACAGATTTGTTACGAAAATATGCCGGAAAATCGCGATTTTCGAGCTTTTCACGGCTTTTCACGGCTTTAAAACCGCTCCCACTAGACCTAAAAAGAAAAAATTGGCATCATTTTTGTCTTAAAAGTAAGCAGCACTAATTTTTAAGGTAATAGTATCCTGAAATTTTGCGAAAGAACAAATTTATTTCACACAAATGGCGACAAACCGTGGAAAATCGCGATTTTACGAGTTTTTAGAGCTTTCCACGGCTCCAGCACTCTCCCTAATGGACGTATGAAAAAAACGTTCAGATCATTTTTATAGGAAATTTTATCAGCTTTATTTTTGGAAATAACTATTTTCTCGATATATTGCACTGGAAAAGAGATATCTCGGGAAAACCGCGGAAAAACGTGATTTTTCGCGGTTTTTCCAATTTTCCGGAGTTACACTGAGAAAACACTATGGCTTATAAACCTATTAGAGGTAAATATGGAACACCACTAATAGTAGTACCTCTACATATAATAATAGCACATATACCTTAGTTATGGTACGTGTACCTTAATTAGGTACAGAGACCTTAGTATGGTTCACAGACCGAGAATCATTAGTTTATTTACGACTATTATAGGTGTTCCATATTTACCTCTAATAGGTTTATAAACCATAGTTTTTTCTCAGTGTAGCACAAAGAAAATTTGTTGGGAAACCAAAAATTCGGATTCAGCGTAAAAAATTACATGGGAATCAATCATAACCTGATTTCACCTAAATTTTGCAAGGTAAACCCCTATTCTATCCTCTATTGCCTGGGCTATAATAAATGCGCTAGTTGCTAGTTCTAGGTTACTCGAACCCAAATCACTGATGTAAAACATTAACCTGCAATCCTATCTCTCGAAGCTTTCTTATGCCGTTGAACACGATGTCTATCAGACTGTAAGCGGTGACGGTGGAGTTGGAAAAGAAGTATGCTAGGGGCTGCTTCCAGTTCCCTATAATACCTCTGCCCATTACCACAAGCGTATGCGTTGCAGCCCGAAAGCTCTTCCCATTGCCATGGTCATGTAGCCCAATGATGCTGTCTTCGCTTCGGTTGTAAAACAAATGACTTCTGAGTGTCATCTCGTCGGCACTTAGAGCACATTGCCTTCTGTCAGGTGGTATTGTCTACTTTTGCCTTGAGGACATAGAAGACTTCTTCGTTGTAGCCCGGCTTAAATTTAAGTTTCTCCGTGAATCTATTCAGCGTTCTTGCAGAGGGTAGGGCCATGATTGTGCTTAAAAACCGGTATGCTTTGGGACTCATGTAATACAAGCATAATGCGAAACGTTCCTCTTCTATGGAGTATCTCCGGTTTTTGGCTTTAATAGTATGCTTGTGGGCTTGAGGGGCGATGATATTTGCTAATTTTTTGGGCAGTAATTCACAGCACAAATTCTTGAAAACCTTTTTCTTTCGATTTGTACTTTTATCAATCTTCCGTGTGGCAGTGTTTTTCTTACGACTGTACCGTACCTTATACTGCAAGGAAGTATTTTCCTTGCGGGGTTTCAATTTCCTTTGAGTATTTTTAGATAGATTCAGGCTATCCAGTTAGCAGCCTAATATTCTGTGAACGCTCTGATAACATTTCGAGGCAAATTCAAGATATTCTGACAATGTTGTGAAAATATTCCGGAATATTCTCAAAACATTCTCAGAACATTTTCGTGAGACAAAACGAAATCCCCAGAATATTCTGGGGATATTTGAAAATCCCCAAAATATTGTGTGGACATTCTAAGGATATTTGTAAAAATCCTTGAAAAGTCCACAGCATATTGTCAGGATGACCTCAGGATATTCGTAAAATCCGCAAAATATTCACTGGATATCGTGTGGACATTGCCATTAAAGTGTTATTATAGTCCTCCCTCCCTTTCCAGCAGTGGATGAAATGAGCCCAGAATTAACTTTCTTGAGAGCGTTGAAAGAAAATTTGCCATGGACCAACCTTCCAACCTTTCCAGCTTGTGCAAATATCTTTTCTACTTTTCACGAGGACAGCTATTTAAAACATTATGACAAAACTGAAAAAAATTGCTTTGTTCCCATTTAAACAGGATCAATTGATTTTAGTTTTTCATCTACCCGTGTATAGTTGAAAAATCAGCGAATTTTTGTTCAATTGTTTACGTTTTAGGTACTGTTGTCAGGAAAAGTAGATAATATATTCTTATTGGCTGGAAACGTCGGATGGTCCGTTATAAATTTTCTTTCAACGTCGTCGAGGGAGTTAATTCAGGGCTCATTTCATCCACTGCTGAAAGGGGAAGCAATATGTTTTTCTGTTGTCCTTGAGGAAAGCAGAAAAAACATGGGTATTATCGGAAACCATACTAGGATGGATTAAAAACAGGTGTTTCCTTTCAATATCCTAAATTTTACGATGAAAATGGACCACTAGACAAGGTACGAATTTAAGCAATCTAATACATGTTTCTTAACCAGAATTTCACGTAAAACACGATTCACGCAACGAAAATTACTGAAACCAACTCCTAACGAAGATATTAACGTTTTTATTTCACATTGGTTACGAGGAATTTGAACTGCCTGCTCACAAGAAACTCAAAGCTCTGCGTGAGTCAAATCGCGCACTACAACAGTTTCAGCAAGCTTCTCAATCGAGCGATGATCGTTTCCCACCATGTGTTGTTCAAACTATTAGAAATTTGCTATAGCTGAGCCAAAGCGTCAAGATTGAGGTTGCCAAATTTTTATATCGCAGAGACTGGCATGATAACGTTTAGCGCGCGATGTGAATCACGAAAAGCTTTGAGTTTTAATGAGTGAGTGGGTTGAATTCACTCCCCATGAATCATTAAATATCTTCGTAAGGAGGTAGTTTCGGTAATTTTCGAGGTGCGCATCGTGTTCTACGTAAAATTTTGGTTAAGAAACGCGTATCAAAATGCTGAAATTCGTACCTTGTAAAGTGGTCCATTAGTCGTTAAAAACAACATTCAAAGCCATGAAAACACGATTGCATCGAGACGTTGCAAGTCTCAATGAACAACATTTTTTCTCAAAATGTTGCGATTCTTTCTTGTTGCATGGCATTGCAATTTGACACCTAAGTTAGGTATAAAATTTTTTCAGAGAGATTCAAAAGGACATTACTTTCATACGTAGTACAAAACTGAACTGCTGTCAATCAGCTTGCCTTGAAAAGGGCATGGTTTTAGCTGTTAAAAGAGGATACTTATTTGTATGAATCCTCTTTTACACATGATATGCATTGGTACCTATCACCATTCTCTATGGAACTAAACAGAAAGTACGATTGGAAATACGTACGTTGAAAGCAAAATTTCAAGAACAAAAGAAGCTTTTTTCATACTTAGTATTTAAAATGTAGTAGTAATCATGGGAACAAAATAAATGAATACTTGTAGATAGTTAAACAGTTTTTGAAAATCTTTGAAACACTCTTCAAAATAATTAACTTTGGTACAAAACAGCAGACAAACATTTACGAGGAATTATTTCTTGTTGGATTTATCGGTTCCAATTCATCGTAATCGCGTAATCATTCCTATCGACGGTCAAATGTTTTTTGCCTTTCTACCAACAAATAATTGAGTGTTTTCAACTAAGATCAATGACTGAGGCTAAATCCGATCATGGAAATCTATCTGAAACAATAAAATAGCCCACCGCGTAACTCATTTAAATGTTTCATTTTAAGTTCATTTTCAGTGTGGACAAACCTGTTATTTTTATTTCATACCTTTACTTACTTACTTCATTCCTGTTGGTTCAATCACAATGGCAACAACATTATAATGTTGTTGCCATTGGGATCTCATCTTATTTACAATTATAATCGTAAATGTGATGAGATCCCAGTAGTCAAGGTGTCTTCGTTTGACATATGGTAAAGCTGCGGAGAACTAGATTCAGCGCTCCACACCAAATATAGGAAAACGTATGCCTTTCCTACCTTCAAAATTGTGTAATCCTGGCTCCACCAAGTATGAACACAATTTTTCTGCAAAACTAGGTGTGCAAGATCCCAGATCGGACATCAAGAGTGGCGGTAGCCACCCCCGGTCGAGGAAAATGACGTCCTACTAAAGTCCCGATAACAAACGGGTGGCCGACACTCTTAGTCACAGGCAACTCCCTTAATCTGAAAATTGATTCGATTTCAAATGGAATTCAGAGCAAACGGCGGCACGGATTCCAACGATCTTGGTGTCTATGGACGCAGCTAAGTTAGCCGGATGGCGTATAAGGGTTTCATTAAGATCCATTGAGTTTTCAAAAAGTTATAAGCACTTAATGACCCAAAACAACGAAAATTTTACTTTACATGGGGCCGTTTGGCGGGCAATTTGAATTTCAGGGTCCTCCAGAAAGTCACTCTGATTCCGCGATAACGGTAAACCCTAGACCCATAAAAGTGGGTACCTAAAGAATCGCCATGTTACCGTGTCCACGGGTTTTTATAGTTTTTTAACATCCCTAGTGTTCTAAAAGAGAAATTACGGAAAATACGAC